AATTAACCATTCAGTTACATTGCTTTACAATTAAAATGTTATATAAATGTTATTTGATTGCCATATTAAAACTAAGACACATTTTCTACTTGCATTATCATTGAGCCATGCTCCTGGTTGGAGAGACTTGAGATAATCTTCGTGCGTGATTCCTCGGCACTAAAGCCAGCAGAAGGTGAAAATATCTCAGTAGATTCAGTGGGCACAAGGAAAGGAAGCAACGCGTCCACCTTTGGGGGGACACGTTGTCTCTCTTTTTCACCCAGTTGCAAATAGACACCCCGTTAAAGGAAACAGTTTATCATTTAGATATTTACCAAATACCATGTGAAAGTCTAAATCTGGTATCAATATCTGCAGCATCTTTACGTCCATGTGATACCACTGACATATATGGCAAAAAGGCATACAAGAGACCTGTTTATTGAATTTATTAAGTTGTATTCAGACACTCAAAACTGATCAGCCCATCACTAGTAATGCTGTTTTACATCATTAAAATTCATTAAGCTGTAAGAGAGACCACCAGTTAGGTTAATTATGCTACCTGCTTATAGCTGTAGGTTAGCAAGTCCAATACAGTCCATCATATAAAATCGAGGGGCAGTCATTAATTAAAACATGATCAACAATGTGCAATGCAAATAGAAGTTCCTTTCAAACATGACCATGAACCATTTCTGATAAAAGTAACAATACACCGGAGAGGGATTTTGTTAATAGCATTACATATACCTAAAAAGACCCCCACTGCTTAACATTTGACCATTTTTTTATATGGTCTAGGATGAAAATATAATAAAGAAAGAAAATAAACAAGCAGACCAATATTGAACTGTACAATTGTTCGGAATCTCTATATTGTTTCCTTGTGAGCGTATGAGCTCTGCAAGCTGTGCTAAAGGAGGAAGAAAACAACATTGCACCCTATAACAAAGTTATATAGAAGTATATTCTTTTCACATACTTGTGACAATGGGTAGTAGTCCAATTTTATGTTTGTGTGCTGTCTGAACTCTACTTTAAAAACACCCCCTAAGATTGAGATCACCCAGTTTGATGCAGGTTTACTACTCACCTGGACAGAGACGGAACAGAAAGAGATTATAACATATAACTAGTTGTATGTTCAAGTCTTTGCAACCATGGAAGTTCAACAGTCATCAAATTTCCTGTTGATTTTTCAATGTGAAAATCTAGCCTCTGTGATAGGTGTGATGAACCCACAACATGAAAACATTTGTTAAATAGCAAGCCAAAAAAACATCCCGTCACACCGGCCTCATGTTGGCATTAGGTGTTGGTTCCTGATGTTACTGAACTTTCCAAAGCTCTAGGTTTTTCGACAACCCGACGACTTTTGTTCTGATAACCGGCAACGACACAAACCCATATTGTTATACACATGGTTGTGCATAGTAGGAAGCCAAATGTGGATCATCGCAGTTTTGGATAAATACTTTTATGTGTATGTCCTCTTATGTAACAGATGTGAGGAGGGAGCGGTCCTTGATTTGAACAACAGTCCTTTCCTGGCACTGTCTCAATGCATTGATGCCTCATAACAGACAGAGAAGCCAGGCGTCTCGAGTTGGGAACAATTTGGTTTTCTTCTGATTGTGAGCATATAGGCAACATAATTCGCATCCAGTCAACCCTGTGAAATGATAAACGAGGCTACAGCTTCTCATCAGCAAATCACACTTCCACACAATCAGACGTTCAAAGGTTTTCCCTCTCGCTCATTCTTCTAAATTGGGGTAAGTCTTACAAATGAATAAAAGATACAAATGTGTTTAGGCGTTGTAGTGATACATGCATCCATTATACTGATATACACTTCTTAAAAAAAGTTTAAGAAAAAAAAAAAGAACATCAAGAAAAAAAAGAAAGGTATTAGAAATGCAGCTATACAGAGTCTTTTAGCTATTCCAGGGGAGTGAGATTGACAGTCAGGTCTGACGTCAGGAAGCCGAGGAGCCCGATGTCCAGTTAGGAGGGGGAGGGGGGGCAGAGGAGGAGGGGGGTATGTGGGAAGGATGAGCAGGAAGAGCCAGGTTAGTTACTGCAGCAGGAGCGGCTGGTGGGCTGAGCCGTCTCCGTCAGGTCCACTCCTCGGTTCCGCCCGCCGCTGGCGCCAGCCGCCTGAGGCTCATTCTTGGGTAGCTTTTTCGCTGTAAGGACATAGCAACAACGTCAGTAATGACATCACCAAATATAATCAGAAAACTACCTGTGATGACAGCAAAATTTTTCCTCAAAAGTAGCTTCACACTTAATCCTGTTTGTTGGTTAGTTAACTACAATAACATGTGTTTCACATTTTGGGTCATTACACATTCACATTGGGATGGTTAAAATTGATATTCAGTATGTTTCTGGGATGCCCAAATAAGATTGGCACCCTACGGAGTGCGGCTTTGAATGCATACTTTTAATAACAGTCTGCAGTGTTCATTAAAGTTTTTCATTTGTTCAGACTATCTGTTATTTCTGTCCTACAGAAACCCACACACAACAATTGCATAATCTGAATGATGTCATAACCATGAGATGTTAATGAAGTTTAAGCCAACAAATGGCATCTCAAAATACAAAAATACAAACAATTCTGTTTTTTTTGGGGCTGAAACCATATATAAATAATTGAGCTGCAAATATGTGATAATGAATTATGGGCCTTTTTCTTTTTAGAAACAAACTAAATAAAAAGAACATGATTTTAAGGCACTGCCTTTTTAGATTACGCGATGCCACCAAATAGGGATGGGAACGATTAATCGAATATTCGAAATTATTCAGGTATTCGAATATTTTTATTAATATTAGTATTTATTTATTTTTTGGGAGGAATGCCTAAGTTGATTACATATTATCAAATTGAATAATTCAATGTATATATATGCGACAGTGCCATAGCTAAATCAGTTAGTTGACGTCTAAAGGTGTGTTTTGCTCCGTTCACCGGTCCCTCACAGCGGGCAGAGCTGCAGGTGCTGATCTCTCTCTCTCGCATCCGGTTATACTTCACTCGTGTTTATGTCCAAATCCATCAGATCTAGCTAGTTCTAACCAATGATATGGCTGCTGCCCCTCCCTACACGCAGATCACGAAGACTCAAACCTCATCTTAGGCCCAAATGTGGCGCGAATGCGCTCCGCAGCCGTTGCGAGGTTCCGGCGCTAACAGTTCATGAGCGTGCTCCCCCGCCCCCTGTCAACACTCGTTGACAGTTCGCATACGCCGTGTTATGCATGGCTGCTGCACCTCGCGGGAGCGTGCACAGCGTAAAGCCAAAACTCACAGACATTTCAATGATTTGTACGGTAAAGTTAGGTTTGGAAACGGTATAATTTCCTTTTTGGAGGGCATGCATAACACGGCATAACACCGGAGCCTCGCTGCGGGGAAACTTTGGCGCTGTTCCGAGTTTGTTGTAATCTGTCAAAATGACGGACTGATATACATGCTATACCTTGCTATACCCGCAACCTCCGTTCCAGCTGAGAGGGTCTTCTCTACAGCTGGGCTGATTGTGAATCGCACATGAAAGCTGTAGGCCTATAACTGTCAAACTGTGATCACCAGTTCAATAAATTTGACAAATTCGACTTGTTTTCTACACTTATTTGAACATGTATGTATTTATTTCCAAATATTATTGAAACATTTTTTTTTAAATATTTTTGAATTTTTTTTTTTTAACAAATGTACATTTCGGTTAACCGGTTAACCATTTTTTGGGGGGTCGAATATTCGAATGTACATTTGCTTTCAAATTCCCATCCCTAGGTTCATTTGTATGTTTTTTGATGTAACTTTACCACTTAATGTGTGTTTTTTTGCATGATCTTTTCCATCAATTCAAAGTTTAAACAACAAGTTTGAAACCAACCTGTAATCGAGGAAACAAAACTCCAAAATTAAGGTCTAAAATAAAGTGTATCGAAATAAATCTGAAGCTACTAACCCAGGGGTCTGCAACCTTTTTGACCAAAAGAGCAATTTTTTCCACCAATTCTTTTTTGTCTGGAGCCGCAAAACCTATTTGATAGCTTGATAGCTTATAAAGTTGTATATATTGTTACATCATCTATGATGTAACAATATATACAACTTTATAAGCTATCAAGCTATCAAATAGGTTTTGCGGCTCCAGACAAAAAAGAATTGGTGGAAAAAATTGCTCTTTTGGTNTATTCGACGAATTGATACGTCGCTAAGTCAAGAGGCGGACCACGTTCCGAGACGTTTAAACAAGACCATAGGAAGACTGTCGAGAAACCAGAACCGGGTATCCCTCAAACCTCACACTGACAAACTCCAACACCTGCTCCACAAAAGATATGACATGCCAAGTTTTCCAACGGTAAGTTATGTCAATTGTGTCACTCTCCTGTCTCCCAAGATTTCTTCTAAGTCCCACCAGACAACCTCGGTCCTTAGAAAAACAAACAGCCACGGTTTAAAAAAAGGTGGATAAAACGTTTATGTAAAGAATATTAGTCCTGTTACAACAAAAGACCTGCATAAAAAAAAAGTAGAAACAGAGAGAGTCAACCTATCAGGAATCCTACTTTTATGTCCCTGGAGAGGTAAATAAAAATGCACCCTCTTTGCTAAGGCCAAGACTAACACAGACAGAAAAGCAAGGCCATAGAGCTAAGCAAGGAAACCTCCATTGATCGGGTCGGTTAAGTGACCCTCTTTATGTAAATACTTTTAATTCAGGATAGACAAAGATAAACGTTAGTAATTTGACAAATGAAGAATCCAAAACTTAGTTACATAATGTAGTAAGAGACGGGTAACAAATCAATCAAGATTCACACGTCAAACCTTCTTACAATGTTGAACCGGGTCGAGGGGAACTCAAGTGACGTTGGGACGGACATCTAGGTCGTCAGGTGTGTGTCAGACCAGGTTGTGTACAGGAGTATGATGATCGTCGAGACGGGTCAGGAGTGACAAACATTTTCATGAATGTAATGACATAAAAGAAAGTTAAACAGAAGCATATGGGCACAAGTATTGTTATGACTGTAGGGACACGAGAGCTAGACAAGGTCAGGCCCCTACACTCTGCGGCAACGGCACGTCCTTGTCTGTCCTCCAGACGAAATGAAGTATTTCCTTTACCGACAGTTAAATTTTTGTTCCACGATTTTGCGACCCTATTGACGACGAAGCACAATCTCTTCTTTATTCAACGTTCTATCGACAATTTCCCGTCGCCCCGGCGCACACATCTATTCTGCTCTCTGTCTCTCTCTCTCATCTCTCTCTCTCTCTCTCCTCTAACTCTCTCTCTACTCTCCGTTCTCGCCTAACGTAGCACGCGTCAGTCGAGCTAGGACCGTATCTCTCCTCGGACGCCAGCAAGAGCAGGGAGTGTTGAAAATACTTAAGGCCGCCTGTTAACTAAAAAAGAAGAGACTTGACCAAACGAGGGTTGGACGGTGACACGAGCGATGTGCGGGCGGGGCAGGTGGTCGGTCGTTCGCCGCTCTAGTAAAGGAAGCCAGCTATTCGCTTGGCTTTGATTGTAAGATTTGTTAGCTACCTTAGTTTATACAAACCCCTTGCCAAGGCTTGGCCTTGACTAAAAGCCATGGGTGGGATAGATAAGGGGTAGTACACCACTTATACACTGTTCTAGGGAGTCCGATGTTGGAAGTACAAAGACCAAAGTCGCAAAGAAGACGGTGATTACACGTACTGATATGAGTTGTGTATAGAGTAACGGAACAGGTACTTTTCTGACACGCAAATTAGGTAACTCGACACATCAAGATAAATCAGTGTATCAATAAAAGTACATAATAGACTCCATCTCTACCTCAGGAGCTCAGGACCGAGCGAGCTCAGCCTGATCTCACGGCTAAAAACCTGAGCACGTGCTGAGTCTAGACGCGTGACTACTTCGCCTGAGCTGAGTTACACTTAAAGAGGCGCTGTTACTAGACTGAGACTAAGAGCACGTGTACTGAGCCTGAGCTAACAGTGTACTGCGAAGCTGAACTGAGCCTAGCTCGTTAAACAGACCTCAGTTACATAGACAGGACCGGCACGTGGACGGCTCCGCTCAACTGAATGGACCCGCGCGGGGTTGATAAGGCGGATTCCATCAGGATCCCTGTGGGGCTAGCACGAAGTCGAAAGCGTGTAGAACGAGAGGGGAACCCTTCTCGCCCGTTTACGAGCAATACACCTTTTCTTTACTTCCTTCCGAGGTATTGATGAGACCCACTGAGCCTAACCTGAGCTACCGAACCTGAGCCCTGAACCTGAGGCGAACCTGAGCGGCTAGCTGGAGGCTGAGCTAGGCTGAAGGGATCCAGCTGAGCCTGAACCTGAGCTTTCACCCCTGAGCTCTCACTGAACGGTAAACCTACCACAACGATGGTACGAGACTGCTGTAAAGAAGACACTTCTTCCTAGGATTGAAGATATATGTTGTTCCCAAAGATCCGGCCGAGGACTATGGCCAAGGCCACGACTATTCCGAGGCCCTTTGCCGGCGAGGTTAGAAAAAGCTGACTTGGGGGTCTGAGAGTGTGTCTAGGGAATTAGACGAGATCCCCGCGAATGCGCACGGAGATTGTGGCGACGGAAAGAAGTGAATAAAAGCCGGATTTCGCCACAGGCTGCGGTACACGTTTGCCGTCACACCATCAACCATCCACGAACCCACCAGAACCATCTTGGGTCTCGTAAAGATTGACGGGGAGGGCACCTCCCTGCTGGGCAACAGCCAACCCTCGGGGGACAAATTCCGTCGAAGCCTGGTGTAGGGCATGGGGGAGTAACTAGAGCGCAATATGGTGAGTGTTACGTAACAGTATAGTTGGCGTCTCAGTGGAATATAGTGTCGCACTGTAATGTCAGTCGTCTCGTATACGTATAAATTGTAGTTAGTTGGTGTAGTGTGTCACGGTTTACAGTTTGCATAGGCAATGAATTTTTTCCAAAATAGGGTCATTGTTAAACTGAGGTTAGTAGTGCGATTTACAGTAGGACAAAGGTACCCATTCACACAAGAATGGAGTGAGTGATCTGTTCGTCTATGAAGTCCTCGGCTGCTCCCTCTCCCGGGACCTTACCCTAGTTTTTACATGTTACTTTGCCCAACATATTCACAAATTGTTTTTATCTCGCTCACATGTTCTAGGT